GTCCGAAACGTCGTCGTAAGCTCCTCCCTATGTAAGGGTTATTTGTGTATGCCATTTCCAAAGCATTGTACAAGCTGTATATATTCCTATTAGAGAATTTAGATTAAACATGAATGACCTTAAATGGATAAACAATAGACTTAAGCATCACTCGGATGAAAAAGAGAGCATTTATAGGCGAAACAAAAGAGATGAGGTCACCTTACTGAGAATTATGTAGTATTCAGTTTAAGAGAGAAGTAAAAAAAAAAAGGGGGGAGGGAATAAGGAAAATCAAGAGAATATGAAAATAATTAAAGACCAATCCAAAGGGTTTCTTTCAGTAACAGTATACAGTAGAGGAATAAGATCAGGGAAGAAGATATTCCCTCTGAAATGTAACTCAGGTCAACTTACTTTTAGTGACAGAAATATGAACCATTGTTAACACTTATTTCTTCTCTGTTTTTTACACAAAAGGATACAAACAAAATACCAGAAATCAATAATTATACTGGTCAGGACGAAAAATAAATTTTGCAGTATCAAAGTCACTAGTACCACGGTCCTCAAACAACTACAGTAATAGAATGAAGCCATACAAGTTACCGGGAAAATGTTGATGGAATCAATAACTGTTGATGCAATTCTAAGCCACTTTTTATTTCCGCATCCACAAATAAACTAGGCTTGAGAGACTGTCCACTTCCCACCGAGAGGTGACTGAGTGCTACTGCTTCCAGTGCTATATTTTATAACCGATTAAAGAAACCTGTTGTGCAGGGGAAACGTTTCGGAAATAAAACATACCCATGTATTGCAAACGTCTTATCCATAAAAGGAGTATTCTAACCTTTTTTTCGAGGCGGTAGACCATGATAAATAATACGATATTGTGTATACGGACTTCAGTAAGGCCTTTGATAAACTTCTACGCAGGAGACTGATTAAGATGGTAGTGACACATGGAGTAGAAATTATCTCTTGCGTCGAGGTATGGCTGACCGATAGGCAACAGAAATAAAAAATGGAGACCCATTACGAGTGTTGTGCTACAGGAGTCAGTGTAGTGACCCTTGTTCGCAATATAACTAATGGAATTCTTGGCTTCATATCAAGAAGTATAAAGAATAGAAATCATAAGGTTACATTTCAGCTTTATATACAATCTTTGGTTAAACCCCATTTAAATTATACTGCTCAGTTCTGGTCTCAGTAATAAAGAACAGACATGAATGCGTTAGGAAATGTAGAGAAGGGTGCTGAAGTGGATTCCATGTATTAGAAGACGGGCTGAAAGCACTAAGTTTGCACACTGAAAAGGCGTAGAATTAGAGAAAATATGACTGAGTGCACAAATGGAAAACAGGAAAAAAAAAAGGATATAAACAGTGCTGAAAATTTCTAGCCAAGCCAAGACTCGCAGCAATGGATTCAAGAGGGAAGGATCAAGGGAAGTACTGGTTTGGCACAAAGTTGTGGGTGAGTAAAACAAACATCCAGATAACTTTTTTGAGGCAAGAACTTGAGTAGCTTTCAATGAACAGGATGGGCGGATATACGAGTGGATGTGGCCGGGTATGAATTAAATCTGCCTAGCATAGACCATGTTCCTTCTTGCGTTATGTATATACATATACACTCGCATACACGAAAGTGTATGCACACGCTCAAGCATACAGACACGTAATTTTTTTTTGTATATTTTGCTGCATTAGATTTTTATGAATACCTTGCAATATTTCTTTTGCGTGCACTGAGGCAGAAAGGGCTGTGCTTATGGTATACGGGGATACCTTTCGCGGATCGAGCAGCGACCGAAATACATATATACATATAGCGTTTTAAAGTGTCTACTATAGTAGTTGTGGAAAATACTGTATATATTTTCCAGAAATTCAGTATTTATATGCAAATAGATGGCCATAATATTTATGTCATAGAAAACGGAAAGCCTGCGTCTGGGCAGGAGACTCGCCATCTTGGTTTTGAATTTTGTACAAACGTTGGTGTGATGGGAAGAATTTTTCGTGCTCTAGAGGTTAAAATTGTGTTGACACCTCTCAAATAGGAGGCGAAATTGGTGGAGATGCATTCCTGCATAACTTGAGATATCAGACGACTGGACAAGACAGCTCCAGGAACCTCAGATAAGCTCTCTAGATTTGTGTATAATTCTGGCCAGTCTTTTCATAAATTTAGTTAGTGAGGTTTTTCTGAGTATGATACAACTTAATATCTAGTCTAATTGGCGAGTGATATTAAGATATATTTTCCTTCTGTTATGTAATTGTGTATATATATAACCATTTATTATTTTTAATATACAGTCCACAAATTTATATATTTACCAGTATTCCTGGTGTATGTATATTTCATTTAATTAATAGGTCCAGAGCAACTTGTGGATATGACAGTGGTAGGTATCGAAGGGGACATTTTTGCGACCTAGGTGTCCCAAATTCCTACTTGTCTAACTGATAAATAATAATTATCTATGTTCATTTATTGTTATGTACATAATGATACAGATAAATGCAATTTTCCACAGTAGTAGTAATCACTACCTCCTTATCCTATTCCAGCTATATTTTTTTTATCAAAATATGATACACCTTATTGTGCGCCTACACTGAGCTATATGCCATTTTACAAGATTAAAAGAATTAAGTGTCAACCATATACAAATAGTCTATCATAAATAGGTCGTGTTCACAATATTTCAATTTGCCTTCAGGAAAAAAAAATTATGAATAATGTCGGTTGCTATAACCTTTACCCATACATAATTTCGTAAGCAGGTTGAGTGGGAGACATCAGTAAGGTTTTTATCTTATCTCGTGGAGGGCGCCCAATAGCTTGAGACTCCTTCATTGGGAAGGGAAGTGATCGGCGCCTAAAATAATCTCTACCTCTCTTCATCCAACCTGTTCCTCACCTATCACGTTTGTTTTCCAACATGTTAGTTCTTCAGCTTCTGTACGTTCCATCTCCAACTTCTGTTGTTCTATTTGTCTACTTTTGTTCCTACACTTTTGTTCAGCCACTTTATTTTCAGTTCATTTTTCCTCTGTTCCTTACGCACTATTTCTCCCACCAGCACTGTTAACAAACCATTATTTTTTCCTCTAATATTTACAGATTCGACTCCAAATAAATTTAGTGTCCACAATATAGCATACACTTTAATTTTCAAAATGACAAAAAAATACTAACCCCCCCCCCCCCGGGCCCC